GAAATATAACACAGATAACATTAAATAAATATTTTTTACCAGGTTAAATGTTGAATATTAGTAACTCAAACCCCTTTTTCTGAGCCTCTCTACCTAACCGTCGATCGCGCACATCTGCCATGTTTGTAGTTTTTTTAACGCCTATTCCTTCTGTGATGCACATGTTGAGTTTCTGCATAAGAGTCTGCCCATGACCGACTATAAGATCGCTCTGCTGTGTAACGCGTACTCCACAAACTCGGAGTGCTTCACGCTGCCCATGGGTGTGCTGGTGGAGACCATCTACGGTAACGGCAGCATGCGCATCACTCTGCCTGGCACCAACTGCATGGCATCCGGCTCTGTCACGCCTTTACCCATGAACCTGCTGGACTCCCTCACTGTCCACGCTAAGATGAGGTGAGAGGAGATACTCAAACTAATCTTTTGCATGTAAATTAGTTTTAGCCGTGACTACTAACAGGACACTTCTCTGGGTCCCAGTTGGTTGCTTTCACTGGGTGTTCCCATCCTCTGTGAAATCTCATTGGTCTGACTGCTCCTCAATCATGTCATGAGACTAAGTCTTGTCATGTTTTCATATCTGATTCCTGTGTGAGACTGCAATCTTGAGTATCTGCCTAATTCGATGCCAGCAATCCGACAAAAATTCTAAAAAATTGATATGAATGTAAAGTATAGACCTCTTATTGCTACATCTGCAACATCATGATTTTAAAAACTGCAATTACAAATGTCTGTTTGTGTTACAAGAACGTCAGCATCTTAAAATCTTACGATCAATACATTTGTGGTGGATTTAGATCTGGTTTTAGACCACAAAAATATATTAGTATGTTGTAGGACCTTCTTTTGCAGCCAATAGAGCATCAGTTCATGATAGATACAAGTCCTGCACGGTGGCCAGAGGGATTTTTAGCCGTTCCCTTTGTAGAGCAGTGGCCAGGTCACTACGGATGCATTTACACTGCAGGTCTTGATGCCTAATTCCGATTTGTTGACTATGTCCGATTTGTTTCTGACGACCAGCCTACATCATCTTTTAAAAGTGACCTGTATCCGATATCTGCTTTTACACTATCCACTGGGCGAAACAACCCAGGGTAGACGTACTGGCAGGTTGCCAGGTCTGCAAAACAAAACCAGCCCAATTGACCCTTCGCAGGGAGTCTGATTGACAGACGATCTGACCAATCAAAATACAGAATCTACCATTTTTGTCCGACAAACAAACCAGACAGAAGAGCAGATTAACATCGGTGTGCATTGACGTCTTTCCGCGGTTGAAACGAGATTCCTTCTGATGTTCATTCATGTTTATTTCGAGCTGTAATGAGTAAAGTAAAGAAGAGGAGATGATCGGTTCTCATGCCGCTTGAACTGAGTTGCTACAGCAATGTCGCGACACATTAAAGAGCCATAAAACGGTATTTATTGTTTGAATTTATTAAAAAATTACAAAATTTGAAAGCTGAGGCTTTGTTTCATACCTAAAGTAACCTGCTCTGTCTTGTCTATCAGTGTCCTCTTTGCTCCGCAATGTATTTTTCACTGCGTGAGAACATGATGTGTGGCATGAGAGCGGCATTGCTTGTAACTAAGCAAGCTAAGACATAGACATGTAACTAAGACATAGCAACGGTAACTAAGGACCGGGTCTTTGCGAAGGGTTAGTTGCTATTCAAAACTAGCCCAGTCAGTTCAGTTCAGATTCTGCACGATAATTTTCTCATGCCATTACTTTGGCAAATGCAATAATTCTGTATCATTTTTACGCGGTTTTCCCTGCGGCAGAATCACTTTTTCAATGATGTACGACTTCTCATTGACAGGAGAATATCCAGTTTGCCTACTTACATGGCAGACACTAATGCACGTATCCGATTCTTATCAGATTTATTTCTACAGATGAATGAGGCCTCAAACCCATCTGAGAATATCAGAATCCATGTGCTTTTTCCTGCTTGCACGTTTGAGGGTCGTATCCGATCTGTGCCACATGGGAGGAAAAAATCAGAATTGGGTCACTTGAACGTTTCCTGACTCACTCTTCCAAAACCCCCCAATTATTGTGGCTGAATAATATTCACATCTGGGGACTGTGCAGGCCATGGGAGATGTTCAGTTTCACTTTCATGTTCATCAAACCAGTCTGTCACCAGTCTTGCTGTGTGTATGCGTGCATTACTATGCTGATGCACAGCACCACCTTCAGGGTACAATGTTGAACCATTGGGTGCACATGTTTCTAGGGAATCCAGTCCAAACCATCGCTAATCCACCCTCATGTTTCACTTTGGGTGTGCATCTGACTGGCTGTTGAGCCTCTTATCCACACCATAACTCTCCTGGATGTGGGAAAGACCGTGAAGGTGGACTCAGAGAACGGTACATGTTTCACATTGTCCACAGCCCAAGATTTGTGCTGCTGGCACCATTGAATCCAGCGTTTGCCATTGGCCAACTGGCCAGTGTTTCATTTTACAGTCTAACCCCTATTATATATATATATGTGTGTATGCACTGACAAGGTGCAGATTTTTAATAGGATGAACATGATGCATGCGATAGAACAAATAAATTAGCCAAATATTATCTTTTATGGCACGAAACTACCATAGTAAGAAAGGCTCCAATACAAAGCTGCACAAAAACACTTATGCATATCCTGGACACATGAGGATAAGCTTAAAGCACCACAGAGTTATGGGCAAGCCTCGCTCCGCAATGTCAAGTTCATAACAGTTAGAGAACCAAGAGAAGAGTAATGTGTGTATGTGCAACACTGAATGTATTGCATCTGTCCAACAGTCTACCAAGACTTTTTCATGAGAGTTTTGTTTTCCAGTTACTGTGTGAATGAGTTTCATTCAGTCTGCTACAGTGCTTTCGTCTGATATTGAGTACTGTTCACGCCGTTCAGAACCACACCAACAAACTCAAGCAAAATTAAACAAAAGCACAGACCTTTATGTTCAGATTCTGCACGATAATTTTCTCATGCCATTACTTTGGCAAATGCAATAATTCTGTATCATCCATTTTTAAACAACTGTCTGCACTGCCAGCTAACAGCATGACTGAAACTAGCCATGCACGTCATGTTATGATTACAAGAGGCTGCTTTATATCCTCTGACATACTGACAGATGGGTAACCAGTGCACATCCTCTTCCAGAACAACAAGACACACTTGAATGTAAAGGAGGACATGTTCAGCCCTCAGTTCCTCATTTCAGAGTAGGACGAAGTGCTTCATTCACTTCAGATGAGGTGTGGTGGACTCCTGCTGTGCTCCTCATGGAGTGGTGCATGTTACGGGACTCTCCTATCCACATTCCCGCCTCTGGAGGTGCTTCAGCCACTGCTGGACATGGAGGACTTATCCCTGATTCTTGTTCCTCATTGAGCACCATGGGGGCGTATTGGGTCATGAATGATACAGAAGTAGAGTGCACAGGCTCCTCCACCAAAGCACAGTGCTCTTAACGCACACTCCAGAGCGGTTTTCAGGGGTTAGTGTATCCCATCATGCATCATGTTGTGGAAATAAACCGTGAGACTTTTTGCCGAGATCTCGCGAGAGGTCACGGAAACCTTACCAATGTATGCTAAATATTATTAATAGTTAGATATTACATATAATTTGGTAGTAAAACAAAAGAGTTGCACGCTTTATTGATGCAAATGAGTAGTGGTGATGATTATTTTGTACAACTGCTTTTTATCACTTAATTAGAAGTGCCACAAAAGTAAATTGTGTCGTCTGTTATAGGGACTACACGTTGAGTAGCTGGTTCCTGTGTGTTTGATTGAGGTTGGAGCTGACGCTTGGTCTGACGTTTTTGTATTGGAGAGGTTTATCATACCAAGGCATTACTCACTTTAACGACACATGATGCTCTGTTTGCTCTGTCATGATGAGTTACTCTAAGGCTGTGCATAAAGGTGTCTTCAGCAAACCACGACTGTATTGTAGTTGTGCTCATTCATGCATAGTACCACATTCTCAGAGGACCTTTTGTTTTTCCTATTAGCTTGATCCACAGCATTGCAACCCGTGTCATTAAACTGGCCCACGCCAAGACTAGTCTAGCCCTGGCCCCAGCCTTGGTGGAGACGTACAGCCGACTGCTGGTCTACATGGAGATCGAGTCCCTCGGCATTAAGGGCTTTATCAGTAAGTCTGACGCACATGTCACAGCACATGTTTTTGACCTTTGAAACTGTGACTGTATGTGCTTCCTCCACTAGGTCAGCTTCTGCCGAACGTGTTCAAGTCGCACGCGTGGGGGATTCTGCACACGCTGCTGGAGATGTTCAGTTACCGCATGCACCACATTCAGCCTCATTACCGCGTGCAGCTCCTGTCACACCTTCACTCGCTCGCTGCTGTTCCACAGACCAATCAGAACCAGCTGCACCTCTGGTGAGGCTCCGCCCACACACACAGTTCATGCGTCTCACATCGAAGGCTGTGTCCTCCGGAGGATGCATTTGTCGGTCGTATACGTCAATGAAGAAAGTATCATTTCAGAACAGTTGCCATTATAAAATCCTCTTGAGGCATGAATTAAGGTTTCCTTTTTGCATTGGAATGTAATGGTTACTTTTTTGAATTAAAGCAGCCTTGATGATGTATGTGGCCGACAAATGTGTTCTCCGGAGGACACGGCTAGTATCTCCCCTACTTCATGCTTAAAGTTAATGAACAAAACAATCGTTATCACAGACTGCTCATGATGACTAACATTTTAAAGCTTTCCTGGAAGCGTAGTAGTCACATGACCTCACTACAGTTCGGCAAGTGGCAGCTAGTTATCATGGATATCTTGGAAATAAAATTGCTACTTTGTAGGAGCGTAACGGTACACACATTCATACCAAAAATAGTTTTAACTTCTGTGTGTGCGCAACATACTCTGAAATTTAGAGTTTCCCCCCTAGCATGTAATAGATATACTTTAAAGGGGTCATGAACTGGCTTTTTAAAAATGATTTTATATTGTTGTCTGAGGTCCACTTATGACGTTCGTGTGGTTTTGACATTCAAAAACATCAAAATCAATAAGTAATAGGCTATTTTCTACCCTGGTTTTAAGGCCAGCTTGAGAAACGCTGGTTTTTATGAGCATGCTGCGTTGAAGACTTGGAAGTAAACGCCCACTGCTGTGATTGGATAACAGTGTTGCATAGTAAACTAACTACAAACTAACTTCATAGTTGAAGCCTTCTGTGACTTTGGTAAGCCACGTACACATAATCAAGCGATGTCTAACAAAGCAATAGTGACACAGTATAAATATTAAATGTGCAGCTGCTCCATTCCTGTCGGATCTAGTATAGACGCACCAGCATTGCTTTTTAATCTGTCTCTCTGCAAATACAGCGTCGACCTGTGTCTTGTTTACAAAGGAATCCGCTGTGAAATGAAGCGAACAAACGCTCAATGTTTTACTCGCGTGAGCTGAAACTTCAGTAAAAATGAAGTTCAACCACGCATTCCTAATATTTGAATCTGAAGGAAGGTTATGCAGCGACTATGTTCTTCCACAATCAGGCACCGCACAATATTCTGCGATCTTCAACGGCATGTTTATTGCTTGGTTGCTTGATCCGGTTTAGTGCCACTTATATTATTTCCCTACTGTGTCATGCGTGAATCAGTGGGCGGGGCTACAGAATTAGGCGTTGATATTCTTGTGGAGGCGGAGCTTAACCTATCTATTACAGGCACATTCCAGGATCTGGCATTCGCTGGGCCTGCTCTCAATAAAAGCTTTTATTTCAGTAACAAGGACATTTTCAGTTCTGAAACTTACAGGATACTCTTTTAGTACGATGATCTCTTATATATTAAAAGCTCAAGTAAAAGTTGATTTCTCAATTCACGACCCCTTTAATGTTGTGAACACAGAGTGGGCTGCTGCGTTAGAAGTGCACAATCCAACTTAAGTGCTTCAAACTAACTGATAAGCCTACAGTTTAAAGCTAACTTACATCTTACAACTTCTACACACTGTCCTGTAGCTTTAGTAGCTGTGGTATGGCAGTGCATTGCTCCAGTCACAGCCTGTGTGTTTGTCATTTGTCTGTGTGTTTGTGTGAGCAGTGTTGAGAGTACCGCTCTGAGGTTGATCACGGCTCTGGGGAGTTCAGAGGTTCAGCCGCAGTTCACACGCTTCCTCAATGACCCTAAAACGGTGCTGTCTGCCGAGTCAGAGGAGCTGAACCGAGCGCTGATCCTCACGCTGGCTCGAGCCACACACGTCACAGGTATTTCACACCATTAACACAAACACATTACATAACTGACCTGATGTTTAGTTTTGTCACATAGCATTTGGCTGAGTAACTTAATTTCACTATAAATATTTACATAAAGTGCCTGTATTTATTTGTTTGTTTCCGTTGTGCAGGCAACATGCTTAAAATAACTTCTGATAGTATTATTTTTCAAAATCGGTTTATCCCTAACTAATGTGCCAAATCCCCCGTCTGTGTGTGGTGCAGATTTCTTCACCGGCTCGGACTCTATTCAGGGCACCTGGTGTAAGGACATCCTGCAGACCATCATGAATTCGGCTATCAAATTTGCTTATAAAAACTGTATAATTGTATTGGTATCACTCTCAACGACTGCAACAGTGCTAAATTGGGCTTCAGAGGAATTACAAATAGCTAACCACAAGTATTACTGGATTAGAGCCTCATATTGCATTTTCTATCTATGTAAGAACATTTAGAATGATGTTTTGAAGGATCTGCAGAGATGGATGATGCATCAGGACAACACACACACACACACACACACACACACACACCTACTGGTAAAAACATGAGACTTCATCTGGCTTGAGATCTTGCAGTCTCAATGTAATATCATGAAGGACTTGCAACTGCAATTAATAAACAATGATTGGACAACAGCACTTGGTGTTGCCTTGTCTTCACTGCTTGCATACAACAATAGACATAAACCAGTGATTACAAAGTCATCTTTTTTAATGAGTCAGTCTTGCACTCACAAATCACCTGCCTGAATCAGTCTGACAGCTCATTCGTTTTTGGCTGAACTAATCTTTTAGTTGAATCTATTACAGTTCATGGGTTTGGTTCAGTAAATACTTGGTACATCGTTCTAGCCCAATATATACTTTTTGCACATAAAGTTATACTCTCCTTTGAATGTGTACTCCATTTGACCGCATGTACGAACTCAAAAGGCAGTCAAAACATGCACACTGAAAGAGTTTGACACTATAATTCTAGGCTCATGCACAGACTAATGTATACATAGTATGCATGGTCTTAAAAAAATCTGACTGCAGCTGTACAATGCGTAACCTGCTAATGACAAAATTTAGCCTATGCATAAAACCCAGTATTAGTATCAGAGCTGTCAGTAGATTACATTGTAGCGATGATTATTCTCACACTTTAATTGCAATTAATGTCACACACCATGTATCCTGTTTTAGTAATTATAATAGACTACCAAGTAAACCGTCAAATTGGAACTATAATAATTATATAAAACTATTTCAGAATTTTTTATTGGCAAAACTGACAGAGCACAATTCATTTTGATGCGTGTAAACGTCATTAGTTGGCAATTAATTTCACGCTGGATGGATGATTTTGAATTACTTGCACGCATTAATGCTGACAGCCCTAATTAGTATATTCATATATAGTATATCTTGGGCTCTAGAGGCACCGTGATTAGGAAATTGAACTGTAAAATTGGCTCTATTTTCTTTATACCCAATGTCATTTCTCATGATTTTTGGATCTGTAACATGGGTAAGAAATGGAGTGCTTCTGGACATCCACTGAAAAATCTTCTGTTGTTTAAAAGCTTTCTGAATAGGGAACATGAGGACTTGGTTTATGTTGGGATTATGTTATTACTGCTTTATAGTGCTCATACGGTACTTCTGCTGCATTCCATTAAATTTGCATATATCATATACTCCCAGAGACAAATGTATAAACACAGTAAAGGTGTCAAACAGATGTTTGTTAGCACTGAATAGCCTCATTTATCCTCTGCAATTTGTTTGCAAAGAGATGTCTGTTTGCTATTGAAGACTTGCAAAGCTAATAGATGCATTTACACTTTGTTTCCATTTGAGTTGCCATCTGTGCATTGGTTCTTGATAGGGCTGCACGATAAATCGCATGCGATATTTAACGCGCATCTTGTCAGTAAAGCCATTCTGTAATCAGCGGTAAATCTCCATCACGTGCGTGCTTTCACATTGAGCAGCATTAACTACACAGATCCGTTGTTCACTGACGAGCTGCGCAAAACCACGTTCATATTCGCGCGATTTTTTGCGCAGCTCGTCTGTGAACAACGGCTCTGTGTAGTTAATGCTGCTCAATGTGAAAGCACGCACGTGATGGAGATTTACCGCTGATTACAGAACCGGCTTTCTGACAAGATGCGCGTTAAATATCGCATGCGATTTATCGTGCAGCCCTAGTTCTTGAACACTTTTTGGTTGGAACCTGGAAGTCAGAGATACCAAGAATATAGGAATGTCCCACATTTTTCCTCAATGATGCTTAACACCAAAGACGTTCCACGGCACAACTATAACGATAACGACACAGAGGAACAATATCGTTGGAATCACTTTTAGCATGATTTTTCCAGCTGATGAACAATAAAAACATTGACAGCCGACTTTAAAGAGCTGGAGCATTTAAAGCTGCAGCACACACTTATAATAAACAGAATTGTTATCGTCTGTGATGTGTGGATGGACGCTAATATAGTTATTGTTATAGATGTCTGTATAGTTCTTGGTGGGCGTTTAATCAGGTTCATAATAACTTCACTTCTCTCTTGTGTTAATTTCCCAGGCGTTCTTCAAGCAGAATAACGTTCCACAGGAGAGCCGCTTTAACCTGAAGAAGAACGTGGAGGAGGAGTACAGGAAGTGGAAGTCTATGACCGTTGAGAACGACATCATCACACACTTCTCCATGCAGGGCTCTCCTCCTCTCTTTCTGTGTCTGCTGTGGAAGATGCTGCTGGAGACGGACCACATCAACCAGATCGGCTTCAGGTGCGCCACTCACGTTCTCTCCACCTGTTTCAGTACACCTCACTTTTTGAGCTTGGTGATTTATGGAGTATGATTCATCCATCCAGATCCTGTTCTTTTCAGGATGTTCTGAATATCTAATGTTTTCCGTTTTATCCATTTAAGCAGTGTTCATTTTGACAGCAAATTTTGTTTTAGTCAGTCTTTTGACTAAAATGCCATTTAGTTTTAGTCATATTTTAGTCATATTAATTGTTTTTAGTTTTAGTCGACTAAATATCATACGATTTTAGTTGACTAAATCTACAGTAAATTTAGTCGGCTAAAATCTAATGGGTTTAGTTAGTGTAATGCATTTATTAAGCATTTCTCTAAAATGTCCAAACTCATTATATAGGTTTGATATTAAGGTTTTATCATGATAGACACCGATTTAACTGCGGTGACACACAACATGCCTTTGTTAAAATTAAATAAAAGCACTTCTCATAAAGAACAAGAACATGGTCTACTTTTTAATGAAATACCAATGGTTATATAGGTTAATTATGCATTCTTTATAGCAGCTTGTTTACCATATTCTTCATTCTTTCAAGCAGACATATTTATTTCTATAAATAAATCGATTAATCTTTAGGGCTACTAAAGTTTTTCAGTCAAGATCTCCCACATATTGACATTTTTTAACGTTTTATGCGACGTGCAGCAATTGTATGTTAGCTTATGTCCCGCCGGTTCATATGTACGGATAACCTCCGAACCACGCAGCAGATGCGTTCTGAATGAATCTCATCCCAAATCGTCCCTCCCTAACATTTTCGTCTCATTTTTATTCGTTGACGAAAATATCAATAAATTTTCGTCATAGTTTTTGTCATTCAAAAAGAGTTTTAGTTCGTTATCGTCTCATTGTCGTCGGTGAAAAAAATGCCGTTGGCGAAAATTATTCGTCAACGAAATTAACACTGCATTTAAGAAAGTCGGCGCTCTCTCTTTAAGCTGGTAATACCTTCTGTCAGTGCTTTCTGTGGTGTGTCTGAACGGGATTCAACTGGTTTCACATTCACATTATTATCAGTGTTGGTGAAGCTCCTTTTTCCTCTCTTAATTTGAAGTAGTAAAGCTACAGTCTGCTCTTTTGATTAAGTCATTCACCACACTAAACAAGCTACTAGCAAAACATAGCTACCTACTAGTAGTGGGAGAAGAAAAATTCTCCATGGTTTCTGTCGAACGTGGGCTTTTACTATTCTACATTGAATTTTACTGTCTAAAGTCTTCATATTGGCTCTCAACTGGAGTTTACAAACAGAATCGCTCACCGTTCTCGCTATGTCCATTGTGGATCACGTTGTTGTGTGCTCAGTCAACAATCTGGCATTGCTGATGACGAGTCCCTCATTCTGATACATTAGTTTTCATCTTGTCACCCTGCTCAGGGTACAGAAACTCACTGCAGCAACTGTGAGATACTTCATTCATTCAGATACTGTTCTTCATCTGTAATATCCTCTGAGCCACTAACCATTAAGTTGGCGTTAATGATTGCAAGGTCGAAATCAAACAAATTGTTTGTCTTATGTGACTTTTTTTTACATAAGAATTAGATTTCCTATTTTTGACTGAGACTTTAAGGATAAGGCCTCTACCCACCTGGTGATAAATTACACTGCACACTGTCTTAGAAGAGAGTGTAGAAAACCTGAATACAATGATGGAAAAATGATACACTCCAGAATTCATGTGGAATTTAAAATCAAACTTCATATAGTAATTTCAGAAAATGCAAATAGCCTGAAAATATTGTTTAAAACCATCGTCTGTTTTATATCCTATTTTGGCTGCTCATCTGAATCCTGTCAAAAGTTCCTCCAATTTTTAATTCAGTAAATACAGAAAATGAAGGCTTCTGTTTTGACGTCAAACTTTTCTTCTCCATCAGTAGAAGGTTGCTTTGACCACTTTCAACCAGTATCATCATTCCATCTTAGTGAACATGTTGCAAAAGTGAAATGCTCAAGCTATAGTTTGGCTGTATTTCCCAAATGCCTCTGTAAAGATAGATCTGTGTATTATATAGTGAACACAGACATAACTGCAATTATAAACAGATCATTATTAAATGGGGGAGTTCCAGCACACTTAAAACATGCAGTTGTTGAAACCTTTACCTAAAAAAGCACATCTTGACCTTGCTGTATTGGCCAATTATAGACTCTCGAAGTTGCCATTGTCAATTACAGCAGTTGTATTCATATCTTACCTAATTTATCCTTCTTGATTGCTTTCGTCTGGCTTTAGACTAAAGTATAGTGCAGAATCAACTCTCTTAAAGGTTACAAATGACATTCTCCTTTCTCTTGACCCAGGTCTGTGCCATTTTGGTATTATTGGATCAGAGTGCAACATTTGACACCATTGACCATACAGTTGTTCTAGATCGATAACAGAACTGTGTTGGTGTTCAGGGCATAGCTATACTATAGTTCGCCTCCTACTTAAGTAGTAGGAATTTTGCAGTGCAGGTAGAGGAATTTTTTTGCCTTCAGCCCTCCTAGACTGCGGGGTTCCTCAGGGCTCTGTTTTAGTACCTCTGCTGTTTACACTCTATATGTTTCCCCTGAGCTCAGTTTTTCAGAAATTTAATTTCAGCTGTTTCGCCTTGCTATGCCGATGATACTCAGTTACTCTCCAATAAACCCTGGCAGTAATGGTACTGTTGCTAGTATGGTTTGAATCTTTGGAGAACATTAAAGCCTTTATAGCAAGGGAATCTAAACTGAAGTGCTTTTCCTAGGCTCTCCCAGGACTGCCTCAACTATTCAAGCCCAGTTAGGATCTGTCTCGGCTAATGTTCCACGGTATCGTCAAATTGACCCATATGAGTATGAAGCGACACAACAACAAATAGAAATGTAAGGCTTTGTTTCATTTTCAAATTAAAACATTAAGCAATGTAGGGCCCTTTGAAATCCGTTTAATTTTTTTCCCCAAAATTCCATCCCCCTCGTTCTGGATTCAGTTTTTTTTTCCAGGTTTAATTTATCTGGACTTAGTTTTAATGGTTAAATTGATTAGTAATCAAAAAAATAAAAAGTAATTGAAATTTTTAAACATATACAATTTAAGAACAATTTATTAAAATTTAAATACATTTTAGGGCCATATGAAATATGTTTTATTTTTCTCAAATTCCGTTTTATTTTTCCCAAATTCTGTGTTTTCCGTTTTAATTTTTCTGGGATCCATTTTAATAAATTGATTAATTAATATTCAAAAGGCATATCTAATTAGTTGAAATCATACAACTATATCAGCTTAATTTATTAAATTATTTAGAATAATAGGGCCCTAAGAAATTTTTTATTTCTTCAGAAATTCTTTTATTTTTGGGGGGTTTGTGATTTAATACAAATGTATTATTAAAAATGGTGCTAATCATTTTCAATCAATCAAAATCAATCTTTTAAAACAATGAAATGAAAATTCAATAGTTTCTTTTATTTTTTACGAACAAAGTGCTGCACAGAAGAGGTTTACTGTTAAAATTAAAGCATGGAAGAAAGACTTAAGTTTAAAGTAAAATTATTATCATTATTGAGAAGCACATTCTACTGTACAATAGTAATATATTTCTGTCACAATTTTTATTTTGACGGGTTGCTGTGAAGATCTTATAGTTTCAGTGTGTATTTTGACGGTAGTTTTTTCTCAAAGTAAATGCTGTAAAGCTGCAGAAGTGACTCTCAGAGCAGCTCTGGAGATGAAGTTCATGTGTTCATGTCTCATATAGTGAGACGCCGACACCGAAAACACTGTGAGCGTCTCATGCGTGCTTGAGTTTGTGTAGTAGACCAAAACCAGTTGTTTTGTCACAAACTAATTGTTTTGTCACACTACTTTCTTTACCACTGGCACTGCTTCATTAGTGACTTAAGCTGAAATCACTGACCCTGTAGAGGTTTGTGTGTGTTCCTGTACCTCTGGCTGATCTTTTTGTTCTCGTGTCATCTGACAGTGGTTTCACAACACCCTGTTCTGTCTGCAGCACTCATCTGTCTCTCTTTGAATGGCTGATCTGAGTATGTTGTGTGTGTTTGTGTGGCCTACTGTCATCAGAGGCCGCAGCTGCTCTCGGCCGTATAAAGGCTGCTTGTGCTGGGCTGAATGGAGCGGTCTGACCGGCCGCCTGGGCGATCCACTTTATTCACCAGTCACGAGCTCTGCCTCATCACACTGCCGGTGCTGCGGGCACAGATGTGTTTAAGGGCTTTCTGACATTTCTGTCTCTTTCTCAGAGCAATCAAAGGCTCCAGGATACACACGCTGTGTGAATGTTCAGACTGTCAGATTACAGTAAACACAAACTCAGCATTCAGATGCTTGTCATCCCAGTTCTTATGTAATCCAATGTTCTCCGCTCGTTCTTATTCTCCGTCTCTTCTACTTTCCTGGCAGTTTGTTCTGCCCCATGAAGCAGTAATGCTGTTCAAGGTTTCCTTCATCATTTAGTTTTTCATGATCATTTTTTATCCTCTTCCTGACTCTACGATTAAGCTGAACACTTTTAAGAGTGTTATATGTTAATAACATAGTAATAACAATGTTTAAGGACACATTTTTACTACAATATTAGGGGATGTCAATGAACTTGTACATTACTGTTTGGGATCAGTAAAGCATTTTTTTGAAAGAAATTAATATTTTTAAATTTAATAATTAATACTTGCTAGGATGCATTAAATTGATCAAAATTTACAGCATTTATAATGTTACAAAAGACTTCTATTTCAAATAAATGCTGTTCTTTTGAACTTTCTGTTCATCTGTGAATCCTGAAAAATAAAATGCATCACAGTTTCCACAAAAATATTGTGCAGCACAACTGTTTTCAACATTGATAATAATCAGAAATGTTTCTTGAGCAGCAAATCAGCATATTATTATGATTTCTGAAGATCATGTGACACTGAAGACTGGAGTAATGATGCTGAAAATACAGCTGCGCATCACAGAAATAAATTACAGTTTAACAGATATTCACATAGAAAACCGCTATTTTAAACTGTAATAATATTTCACTATTTTACTGATTTTGCGTCAAATGAATGCAGTCTTAGTGAGCAGAAGAGACTTTTGAAAAGTAGTATGTGAGTGATGAGGCTATCACTGAATTCATACTCTTAATTCAGAAGAGCAAGACAGCCCTGTTCTCCATCACCTCTGTTGCTTTTTGTTGGGTTTGGACTTGAGTTGGTCTGGTTTAGTCCAGTTCATAAGGGCCTAGATTCCAGTGGTTCTGGTGTATTTTCAGTGATCAGCGTCTCTGAATCTCTCTCACCCTACAGAAGACATCTGCAGTGCGATCACTCGCTCTTTTCTTCTTTCTCTCAGTCTTTCCTGACTCCTGCTGTCTTCTGTTCTCACTGCTTTATCTCTGTCTGTCTCTTCAGAGAGATGCAGCCAGTTCTTGACAGTCGCTTTGCTCTGAGTTTTCTCTTTTACACTGATTTAATACTGTAACATTGCCTAAACTCTTTAATACATTGATGGAATGATGGAAGTGTTTATTGAACCTTTAAACAAAATATAAACAAAAATCTAAAAGAAAGTTTGCATATGTGTGTTTTGTTGAGTGTCATATGTGATGCTTCAGGGTTTTTTGGCTCATAAAGTCTGATATAGTGTAAATATGGAGGAAAAAACAGATGAGTTTTATTCAGAGACTCAAACTGAGCAAAAATATGCAATTTGGTGCAGATGCTGATATTTATATAATGAAATTCTGCTGCTTATAGTGTTAATCAATGAGATCTTTATAACAGTAAGCAGATACTACATGACATAAAATGATATAAATATCAGTCGTCGCTCTATATCTCCAGTAATCTGTTTTTTTAAGATGAGATTTAAATGCATAGTTTGATGATCAAAGCTCTGCAGTTTCAGAACATATGATGCAATACAATACTGCATGATGATTGATGATGATTGAGAGACAAACAAACATTACTCAAAATCATTTTAACATGATTTAAAAAAAGAAAAGATATCTGAATAAGTAAAGCCAAGCTGCTTCAGTCCAGTAAGTGTTCATCTGGAAATATGACTGCAGTTATTCTGACGTTTACTTAATAAAAACCAGTAAAGGTTTGACAGCAGAAAGACACGTGAAGCTCCAGCTGAAGCTGGACGTTTGTACAATTACACTAAAAGAGCTGTGACTTGATGATAAACTCTAAACTATCAATCAGAGACAGAAGCATGGAGTAGATTGTGTGCGACAGGCTCAACAGCAATGTGTGCTCATGTTGATCGTTTAGAGGCTTTAGAAATTTGTGTATCAAATGTGTGTATCAAAAGAAAAGAGGTTAAAAGCAGCTTTCATAGCACCCAAACTGATATCAGATGAATGATAATGCCCGACTAACATGTTATCTGTCCTGTCCTCAGGGTGCTGGAGCGCATCGGGGCGCGGGCGCTGGTGGCCCATGTGCGGACGTTTGCAGACTTCCTAGTGTACGAGTTCAGCACGTCAGCAGGAGGACAGCAGCTCAACAAGTGCATCGAGATCCTCAACGACATGGTGTGGAAGTACAACATCGTGACGCTAGACAGACTCATCCTGTGCCTGGTGAGCCCTGACCTCTGACCTCTGACCTCGTCCTGTCCTGCCACAGCACCTCTCACCACATTCTTACTTCACCTCGTAAATAATGCCTCTCAAATAACTCTGCAGTGACCAGTCAATAACAGCACAATAGTCTGCAACTCGAGCCTATTTCACAGGTCAGGAGCTTAATTAATTCCACAGTGACCGCTGTATCTGCACACATTTACTGTTGAAGTTTCAGCATAATCTTAAATACAGGGCTTCCCGCGGGTCCTTAAAAAGTCTTACATTTAGTTGTATCAAATTTAAGGCCATAAAAAGTCTTAAATGGTACAAGAAAGTCTTAATTATGATTTCAGGAGGGACGGAAAGACAAGAATTGTGAATGTGATACGGCTTAATGTGATGATTAAACTTCAAAAGGCTGTGATTTCATTGATTAAATATGAGTTCTGCATGTTTCAGAGTCAGCTGCGCTGCTTTGTGTGCTGCTGTTATCGGGGGAAACCGCTGTATTTCTGCCGTTCTGAAACGCCTCCTGCTGGCAGAGAATGAGTGTGCATTTTCAATCAGCCCTTCTGCTGTTTTTGTTCAGACCAATGTGAAAATCAGCCCATGTTTTTACACAGCAAACACGCAGAATTGTAAATGTGAACTAGTGGATCGACAAGAAGATAATGCATTATAAAAATCTAAACAATTAAGACAGTAAAATATATTTAGAGGTTATTTAATTAATGTAATAATTGATTGATAATTGATTAAATTAATACTTTTGACTTATCCATTTTATTAAAAATGGTTTAAAGGCTGAAATGTGAAGTGTATCATTTTATAAAACGTTTTGGTTTTGTGAAAACCTGTATCTGAACTGTAAATCATGCTTTTTACAGTCATTTTACAGTTTAATATGTTACTATAGACATTGCCCTACCCCGCTCATATGGTATTAATTTTATTTGTGCAGGTCTTAAAAAGTCTTAAATCTGAGCTTAAAAATCCTGCGGAAACCCTGTATTTATTTTGCCATTATTTATGTATCTTATGTATCTTATGAGTTTTCACTAAATAAACACAAGGAATGATATTTTTAAGTAAGAGATTTTATTATATTTTAAAGAATGATTTTATTATAAGTAACTCTGCAACTAGCAGTCATTAGAGTATTAGTCGACCGTCTGCTTAATATCTGCTAGCGCTTTATTTTGATGCTCCCCCAATAGACATTATATTGACTATAAGTAACTTTCAGATCTAGCTATCCAAATACTAAGTAAATTTATTTTTAAATGTTTTCGTTTATATGCACCAATATAATGGCAACATGTGCTTGCATCAAGTGAGATCTGAAGAGAGAATGCATTGAAGATTTGGGTTTCAAAATGTAATTTGAGCTTGGAAATAAAATAAATCTATGATATATACCGTGAACTAAACAGTAAACATTGCTGTTTGGGCACTATTTCTAGAAGACTAATCAGATAACAGTAAATGGGTGTCTCTGAGCATGATCTCATTGTCCAGTGAAGCTTATGGACGATCTCAGATCATGCTGAAGAACTTGATCATCAGGTTTAGTTCATGTAGCTCCTAGTCTTTAAAGCAAAACAGACACACCAAATACTCTGGGACTTCAGTGAGTGGTTATGCAAAACAGTCATTAAATCATTTGAAAAAGACGGTTGAAAGACCTAATCAATGGAAAGTAAACTGCATTTGTGCCACTGAGGTTTAAATCAGCCGTTATTTAAATCTATTCCAAAATCCACAATGCAGATTCATCATCGCTGAGTGCTTTGATTGCATGTAATCGTTTTTTAAAAAGCGGTATGTTTGTATTTCCAGTGATTCAGCTGTGCTTCGTTTCATGCTTGACTCATGGATTTATTGGCCTGTTAGCGCAGCATGTGAGTAAAGCTGCATGTGAAACATTATTGGTGTGTCAGAAGCTAACAGAAGGCCAGCTCGACTGCTGATCAATCAGCTTCCTGCTGTTACTGTACATGCTCCATTTATCAGTCCCGATCGAGCGCTCACATCAGTGACACTGACCCTTCCTGCAGTGCACAGCGACCTGCTGCGCTTTTGTGCTGTTCAGCCCAGTCTGAAGTTCAGATCCCGTTTCCATGCACTGATGAAGAAAATCACACACACACACACACACACTGGGAAGCATTTCCTGAGAGCTCTGCTGTCTCAACACGCTACACTGAACAAACGTTTCCAAACAAATAGACTGAAGGTTGTGTTTCCACGCAGGCGATGAGGAGTCACGAGGGGAACGAGGCTCAGGTCTGCTACTTCATCATCCAGCTCCTCCTCCTCAAACCCAACGACTTCCGCAACCGCGTCAGTGATTTCGTGAAGGAGAACGCTCCCGAACACTGGCTACAGAGCGACTGGCACACCAAACACATGACCTACCACAAGGTATCACACACACACACAGCCTGCTACACGCTAACAACACGGGATTCTTCCCCAGATCAGTTCAGCTCCACTCAGTCATGCAATCACCTGTCAAGAAAAGTTCAGATCTCAGAGTTCAGTAATATCATGGATGGATCCGATTGCATACTGTAAATATTTATCTTGATTTTAATGGTAAAAGACTGTGAAAAACAATGGTAAAAACCTGTTAAAATTGTGTTATAGTCAGCTCCCTTACTTTATTTAGTGAAAAACAGGAATAGGTCTTATCGGACATTTCATGTCATTTAAATTTACAGTTTTTGGAAGTGAAAAATAACAAGTCATCTTATTTACAGTGGAAAACTGTAAACTGACATTCCCAGAATCCTCTGTGTGACAGCTCACATTTGATGTTTTTTTTTTTACATATCAGATATATACTAGAAATTTACTTCATATTTATTGCATTTATTGCACTGTGTTCTCCATCTATATGATAATATTTACCTCAGTTTCCGGAAAAGCTACTTTGATTCATCATGCGTCTTTCTCTTTATCACCTGTGTTTTTAGGATGGTTGTCAGTACATTATTAATGTAAAAAACAGATTTTAGTACTTCAGTAGGTTGGTATATTGACATATCAGTAAATGTAAATTTACAGTATTGTGACCCTGGAGCACAAAACCAGTCAAAAGTATTTTTTTAAATAATTTTGACCCATACAATGTATTGTTGGCTATTGCTACAAATATACCCCAGCGACTTAAGACTGCTTTTGTGCTGCAGGGTCACATATTGTAAATTTCAGCTCAAGCTGTCAAAACTAAAATGTTGCTACCGTATTTTTTACAGTAAAGTTCTACAGGTTTTTTTTTTTCAGTGCAACAAACAGTAATGCTCAGTCTATCAGGATGTGCTGCCAGTGCTAGTCTAAGGTTAAGGTTAGGATGTAGTTAGTATTTGTTTTCAGCATTTGTATGCATTGAGCACTATGATTGACTGACATGACCTATACAATCTTTAGAATCGCCTGGGGGAAAAACAAACAAACATGCATTACAAACACACAGCGAGCACACAATGGCACATTAGATAATGTCAGCAGCAGTGTCCATAAAGCTCGTACAGCAAATTATTGGAAAAATGTGTGTCTCAGATTTTCCATCCATCCATTACTGATTACAGACAAAACAAACCAGAATATACAGTTGTGCTTGAGCATGTCACATTTACTTACTAAGAGTCTCTAACAAAACTCTGAAGATGCATGAAGCTCACAAACTTTCACTAATCCAGTGATTATTCCTCCTCAGAAACACTCATCATTGCAGCCTTGTGACAGGCCTCTCTTTTCTTCTGACTGTACTGTGCTTGATTTACTGAACGTAATGCCCTTCACTCTCAGACAACCTCTTGCCAAGCTTTCCAAACGGTGTAAATACACATTTGTGTACAGACACAACAACGCTGGGCACCCCAGATACTGCGTACGGTTCAGCAGTGTCCTCTCACAGATGTATGTTAGTTATGGATTTGTGTATAGTACTATACTTGACCTTTAGAGATGAAACGGAAAACCATCTCGGTTCAAGATATTCGGCTAAGTATCAAGCTTGATGGCTGTCTGAAATGTCATAAGCACACAGTTATTATCCCCCCTCCCATCTTCACTTCTCTGTGGCATTTTAAGGAGAGATTGACCCCAGATTGCCTTGACATTTCATCTCTTGTGTATTTGTGCTGAATGGCAAACACACAGTTTGAACTGATCTGACCCGACCATGATGTTCAAACTAAGACCAAAGACAACACGTGAGTTTAGAAGAGCGCCGTGTTCTTGATGTTTATCACTGCACTTGGTAAAGTGCTCAACAGCTGTTCTCTAACATGCAGTACAGCTGTTATCTACTGGGAAAAGACGGAAATCTACAAAACTGTGCCAATCTTAAAGGAATAGTTCACCCAGAAATATAAAATCTGTCCATATTTACTCACCCTCATGTCATGCCGAACCTGTGTGAGTTTTGTTCATCTTAAAAACACATATGAGGATATTTTTAATGAAACCTGAGAGATTTCTGTAACCGTGCAACCAAAACTTTGATGCTTCAAAAAGTTTATAAAGACGTGGTAAAGACCTGTGAAGAGACATGATCGCTTTATATGATGAACAGATTTAAAGGAATAGTTCACCCAAAAATGAGAATTTGTTGAAAATGTGCTCACCCTCAGTCCATCCGAGATTAGGATGAGTTTGTATCTTCATCAGGTTTGTAGAAATGTAGCATTGCATCAGTGTCTCAGCAATGGATGCTCTGCAGTGAATGGGTGCCGTCAGAATGAGAGTCCAAACAGCTGATAAAAACATCACAATAATCCACAAGTAATCCAGTCCATCAGTTAACATCTGGAGAACATCTTTCTTTAATTTACGCTTGTATTCACATATAAAAAAATTGATAAACACACATACATGGAGCTCATCAAATATGGTAAATGGAAGCTTAAATGTTCTTTGACGCACGAGAACAAACCTCATTGGCCAGAAGACTTGTGTTAAACCACTTTTACAATGTGAACTTTTGAAAGCATCAAAGTTTTGGTTCCATAGACTTTAAATGGAGGGACAGAAATCTCTCAGGTTTCATTAAAAATGTCCTAATCTGTGTTTTGAATATGAACAGGGTCAGTAAACAATGACAGAATGTTAATTTTTGAGTGAGCTGTCCCTTTAAGAGGTATGTAAGCCGCCCATAACCTATGACATGCTAACATAAATGTTCAGCTGAATTCAGCCAGCAGTGTATTTTTGGTCCAGGTAATGGTTTTGGCAAAAACAACAGCGTTTTGATTTATTATAGCTGTCTCTGAATGCAAACCTGGTTATATTAGTAATGAGCCCCTTTGCTGTGTCCCGTGCAGAAGTATCCAGAGAAGCTGTACTTCGAAGGTCTGGCAGAGCAGGTCAACCCTCCCATTCAGCTGCACTTACAGTACCTGCCCATCTACTTCGGTAACGTGTGTCTGCGCTTCCTTCCTGTGTTCGACATCGTCATCCATCGCTTCCTGGAGCTGCTGCCTGTGTCCAAGTCTCTGGAGACGCTGCTCGATCACCTGGGGGGGCTCTACAAGTTCCATGGTGAGAGTCGTGACAGGCACTGGGAATTAAAAGTGTTATTGTTTATATATTGAACTAGTTAAACTGAAATCAAACTTTTTACTGTTATCCTAAAACTGTGTACGTGCAGATCGTCCAGTGACGTACCTGTACAACACGCTGCACTATTACGAGAGACACCTGCGAGATCGCACCAACCTGAAGAGGAAGCTGGTGCACGCTATCATGAGCTCGCTCAAGGACAACCGCACGCCTGGCTGGTGTCTCAGCGAGACGTACCTGAAGTGTGCCATGAACCCTCGGGACGACAACGTCTGGATCCCCGACGACACGTACTACTGCAAACTCATCGGGCGGCTTGTGGATAATATCCTTAACTGAGCAACCACAGCCAGCGCTGTCACATCAGGGCATGGTGACTGCGTGAGGAGCACGAGGTGGCCTTAAACGAGAAAGAAAACTATGCCCTGGCGAGTATATGAAACATAAAACTGCTATTTATAGATTCTAACAGTGCATGGTTATGAGAACACAATCGCAAAGGCTACAATTGAATTATGTATATATGTGATATATCGAGCGAGAGAGAGAGAGAGAGAGTCTGATGCATGTTCATAGTGAAGCGTTCCACTGTTATTTTACACGTGAGCTGCTCATGATCTGTCAGCGTTTTCAGTGTCTCAGAGCGGCTCGGTTCACAGTAAACGCTGCTCCAAACAAACCCCATCTCTGCAAGTGCTGTGAGTTTGAGTCGCTCATAACATGCATTTGAAAATGCAACACACGCCAATGATCTTCACAAAATTGCTTATAAATTTGTTGTCAACAAAATAAAATATTTATGGTCTCCTTATGGTTTTCTGCATAAATATGAAAGCAAAGACCACCCTTAATATTAGTATTGTAATTCCTAAGTCCTCCAGAGTTTAGCTCCATATCCGATCAAACACCCCTGAACCAGCTAATCGAGGATTACTGGGAAATTACAGGCAGCCAGGGCTGGAGCTGAGCTCCTGGTTTAAAGTGTCTTGCAAAAGTGTCAGATGTTGAATGTGGCAAGAGAAGAGTCAAGAAACCCTTCCTTAACCGGTGCTACCCATGGCAGGTAAATCTCCAGGACCGTTCCCCAACTGTGACTGGCGGTTTAACGAGTTTCCAAACCCGGCCGCTCACGCACTACACGTCACCTGTGTGGAGCTCATGGCTCTGGCCGTGCCGGGGAAAGACGTGGGCAACGCTCTGCTCAATGTCGTGCTCAAGAGGTCAGAGTTCATCCCTGCCACCTGTGATCCTGTGTCAGGAGATGCACAGACACACACGTTCATATGTTACAGTGGAGTGTTGAATGATGAATGTGTGTTTTGCAGTCAGCCGCGTGGAGCTCATGGCTCTGGCCGTGCCGGGGAAAGACGTGGGCAACGCTCTGCTCAATGTCGTGCTCAAGAGGTCAGAGTTCATCCCTGCCACCTGTGATCCTGTGTCAGGAGATGCACAGACACACACGTTCATATGTTACAGTGGAGTGTTGAATGATGAATGTGTGTTTTGCAGCCAGCCGCTGGTTCCTCGGGAGAACATCACAGCGTGGATGAACGCTATCGGCCTGGTCATCACTGCCCTGCCTGTACGCACACCATCTTCATTCACTTATCTACTCTTTCTCTCGTACAGCAGAGTTAGCGCTGACTTGTGATGAATAATGCTCATTGGACCGCTAGGGTTGCATGCAGCACTTGAGACAGTAATTGTCAAGTTCACAGCAGTGTTATTTTAGTATCATTGAAATACTGTTTCAGTTTTTATGAATACTTTAAATTAGTTTTGTTAAAGTTTTAGCGGTTACACTTTATTTTGATGGTCCACTTTAGACATTCTACTAACTGTTAGTAACTTTGCAGCTACATGTCTACTAAGAGTAGACTTGGGTTAGGTTTAGGGTTAGTAGAATAAGTTGACATATACTTGCAAAGATTCTTATAGTCAGTATGTTGAATGTTGTGGACCCATCAAAAGTGTTAGTAGATATTAAGCAGACAGTCTACTAATACTCTAATGACTGCTAGTTGAGATGTAGTTGCAAAGTTACTTACTGTTAGTAGAATGTCTAAAGTGGACTATCAAAATAAAGTGTTATCGTTTTAGCAATTTTGTTATGTGCTTTTGTCTTTTTTTAATGTGTTGATATAGTTTTTATAATTTTAATTATTTTTATTACATCAGGTTAAATGATAACTGTTTCCTTGGCAACTAGCTGAATTAAAATGTTTACAGTAAAATAATTACTGTGTTTCAGTTAGCATTTATTTTATTTCAAGTAAGAATTTTTTAATCGTTTAGGTTTTATAAAATATAACCCTGCTTCATGGATGAGACCTGAGATGTTTGTAGTCACTGTTTTTGGAGCCATAATTGACAAATGATTTGAACTGAGTTCATGTAATTTCTCCTGCTTTCCGTCTGTCTCTCTGTCAGGAGCCGTACTGGATCGTGCTTCACGACCGTATCGTGAGTGTGATCAGCAGTGCGGTTCTGAGTTCGGAGACGGAGTGGGTGGGTTACCCGTTCCAGCTGCTGGACTTCACCGCCTGTCACCGCTCGTACTCAGAGATGCACTGCAGCTACATTCTGGCGCTGGCTCACGCCGTGTGGCATCACTCCAGCATCGGACAGCTCTCCCTCATACCCAAGTAAGACCTCACGCCCGTCTCAAAAACACCCTGCACACTGAACCGTTCCCCACACCTGCCAGTGGGGCAGAGACACCTTTACTGGCCATCTTAGCAGCCATTAAACTGCATTGTTTTCATTCTTAAAGTTAGGATGCATTCTGGCCAATAATCAGGGTCCCTGCTGTTCCTTAAAAATCCTTGAATTCAGTAAAAACTAATTTATGGTCATAAAAAATCTTAAATACTTAAAAGGCTTAATGATCATTTCAAGAGGTTTAAATGTGGGCAAAAAAGCGGTAATCATGATACGACATCATTTAAATGACCAAACTTTAAAAGCCTATGATTTCTTTAAATAAATATGAGCGCTGCATGTTTTAAAGTACAAACACAGTGCTGTTGTTTTACAGGCTCTCAGTTTCAGATCGGTTCTCAATCGGTGAATACCGCACATTTATGCCAAGCGAGTGCTTATGATCTGCTGTCGCTGAGTTGTTTACTTTATAGTGTTGTGAGATGCATATTTGATCTCCCTCATATCTGTTTGAAGTAGTGAAGCAGATCCATTTCAAAATAAGGGTCCCGGTGTATTTCGGGGTGGTTTATAATTAAAAGTCCCTCATTATGCATAGAATCTTTCTTTTCTGGTGATCAATAAAGTGTATCTGGCATTTCATTTCACCCCATCTCAGGAAGGAAAGACAATAAATCTTTTTTTAACACATTGAATTTTACTAGTTTCAGCACAATATCTGTAATCTATTTGTAAATGCTTTATTATTGTATCAGCTAAATCTAATATCGCTTGACCGCTATTTTGTATGTGGTATATTGGTACATAAACCGATTTCAGTACATATTGAATAGAACCTGTCTTGTGTATTTTAGATTTGACGTTACCCTGTTTTGCTGATAAGCCGTATATGTCCTTGTTGAATTTGTGCCACAGCCCATTTAATAATGTGAAAGAATCTGAGATGCATGATTTGAGATTGTATGGGTTTGTTCTGAATGGACAAACAGTATGTATTTTATTAGTGCAGACCTTAAAAAGCCTTAACTTAAATTAAAACCCCCGCAGATGCCCTGATAAATGGATAAATGTTATGGTTGTGTGCGTGTGTGTGTGCGTGTGTGTGCGTGTGTGTGTGTGTGTGTGAGGATGAGTCAGTGATGAGCTGAGATCACTTCACCTGCTGCCTCCACACACTCCTCATCCCACCACAGAACAACACATCACATCACATCCACAGAGACGCCATCAGTGCTCTCAGATTGAGCATGAACACACTTCTGTGCTCGAGTCTGTTGTTCATCTGTGTGTCAGCTATGACAGAATGCTGCCTGTGCACAAACTGACTCCTCGTTAGTTGTTCGTAATGCTTTTTACTTAAGTATGATGGTCAGTTTTGTACCAGAGTGAGGCTGCATGGCTTGAAAAAGATGGATTTCGTAACATCATCTGAAAAGTTGTTTCAGAAGCAGAGCAGATATTGATAAAAGATGATAAAGACAAATTTATCATTGCAATAACATGCTGTTTAGTCGATCACAGTAGGAGCTGTGCATTATTAAAGTAAATCAATTCAGATTTTCTGTTGGCTTTAAAGGTAGTTCATGTAATTTACATCATTTGGGGTCGGTACAAAGTTTCTGAAAGAAGTCTCTTCTGCTCACCAAGGCTGCATTTATTTGTTTAAAAATACAGTAGAAACAGTAATATTGTGAAATATTATTAGAATTTAAAATAGCTGTTTTCTATGTGAATATCTGTTAAACTGTCATTTATTCCTGTGATCAAGAACCCTGGTTAAATGACACTACCCGCTCTCTCAGACGTACCTGCAGAGTAGCTGAGAGAAAGTGGAAAAAGGATAAACTAAATATCTCGTTCTAAATGATGCAGGACGCATTATGTAAATACCAGAGAGCAGTTAAATCTGCCAAAACTTACATTTTTTCCCGACCTTGTAGCCAGTAACAGCCAGCGGCCTCAGGTTCTTTTTAATGTTTTTAACTCTCTTGTTAACCCACGTGATTCAGATTGTATTGTGCCATCTTTAATATTATGTGAAAACTTTCTGAAATATTTTGTGGACAAAATTGCTGGTCTTAGTTTTCCACCCATCACGGTTATCAGTGACTCCCTTGATTTCTCTTTTTGCCCAGCTGTCTTTCAGCAGTTTGAGCCTGTTACATTCTCCTATCTTTCTGACATAGTTGAACAGCTACGTCCTGCAAACTGCCTCCTAGACAGTATTCCTGCACGCTTAGTTAAAGATGACTTTGACACTGTTGGGCCAAGCGTTGTATCTTTGGTTAATACATCTCTCAGCTCAGGGTGTGTACCAGCTGTTTTTAAACATGCCATTGTGCAACCGCTTCTAAAAAAGAATTGGATCTTTCAATTTGGTCTAATTTTAGACCTATATCTAAACTCCCCTTTTTATCGAAAGT